CGAAACTCTCTCCAGGTAAACTCCAGGTAAACATAGTGACGAGGTTCATCCAGTGACTGGTGCTACATAGTGACGAGGTTCATCCAGTGACTGGTGCTACATAGTGACGAGGTTCTTTCCAGTGACTGTGCTACATAGTGACGAGGTTCATCCAGTGACTGGTCCTACATAGTGACGAGGTTCAACCAGTGACTGGTGCTACATAGTGACGAGGTTCATCCAGTGACTGGTGCTACATAGTGACGAGGTTCATCCAGTGACTGGTCCTACATAGTGACGAGGTTCAACCAGTGACTGGTGCTACATAGTGACGAGGTTCTTTCCAGTGACTGGTGCTACATAGTGACGAGGTTCATCCAGTGATGGTCCTACATAGTGACGAGGTCAACCAGTGACTGGTCCTACATAGTGACGAGGTTCATCCAATGACTGGTGCTACTTAGTGACGAGGTTCAACCAGTGATGGTGCTACATAGTGACGAGGTTCATCCAGTGACTGGTGCTACATAGTGACGAGGTTCATCCAGTGACTGGTCCTACATAGTGACGAGGTTCATCCAGTGACTGTGCTACATGGTGACGAGGTTCATCCAGTGACTGGCCTACATAGTGACGAGGTTCATCCAGTGACTGGTGCTACATAGTGACGAGGTTCAACCAGTGACTGGTGCTACATAGTGACGAGGTTCAACCAGTGACTGGTGCTACATAGTGACGAGGTTCAACCAGTGACTGGTGCTACATAGTGACGAGGTTCAACCAGTGACTGGTGCTACATAGAGACGACGTTCAACCAGTGACTGGTGCTACATAGTGACGAGGTTCAACCAGTGACTGGTCCTACATAGTGACGAGGTTCAACCAGTGACTGGTCCTACATAGTGACGAGGTTCATCCAGTGACTGGTGCTACATAGTGACGAGGTTCAACCAGTGACTGGTGCTACATAGTGACGAGGTTCATCCAGTGACTGGTGCTACATAGTGACGAGGTTCATCCAGTGACTGGTGCTACATAGTGACGAGGTTCATCCAGTGACTGGTGCTACATGGTGACGAGGTTCATCCAGTGACTGGTGCTACATGGTGACGAGGTTCATCCAGTGACTGGTGCTACATAGTGACGAGGTTCAACCAGTGACTGGTGCTACATAGTGACGAGGTTCATCCAGTGACTGGTGCTACATAGTGACGAGGTTCACCAGTGACTGGTCTACATAGTGACGAGGTTCAACCAGTGACTGGTCTACATAGTGACGATGTTCATCCAGTGACTGGTGCTACATAGTGACGAGGTTCAACCAGTGACTGGTGCTACATAGTGACGAGGTTCATCCAGTGACTGGTCCTACATAGTGACGAGGTTCACATTCCAGTGACGGGTTTCGTCGTCTACATAGTGACGAGGTTCATCCAGTGACTGGTGCTACATAGTGACGAGGTTCATCCAGTGACTGGTCCTACATAGTGGGGGGACCGAGGTTCATCCAGTGACTGGTCCTACATAGTGACGAGGTTCATCCAGTGACTGGTCCTACATAGTGACGAGGTTCATCCAGTGACTGGTGCTACATAGTGACGAGGTTCATCCAGTGACTGGTCCTACATAGTGACGAGGTTCATCCAGTGACTGGTGCTACATGGTGACGAGGTTCATCCAGTGACTGGTCCTACATAGTGACGAGGTTCATCCAGTGACTGGTGCTACATAGTGACGAGGTTCAACCAGTGACTGGTGCTACATAGTGACGAGGTTCATCCAGTGACTGGTGCTACATAGTGACGAGGTTCATCCAGTGACTGGTCCTACATAGTGACGAGGTTCAACCAGTGACTGGTCCTACATAGTGACGAGGTTCATCCAGTGACTGGTGCTACATAGTGACGAGGTTCAACCAGTGACTGGTGCTATATAGTGACGAGGTTCATCCAGTGACTGCTGCTACATAGTGACGAGGTTCATCCAGTGACTGGTCCTACATAGTGACGAGGTTCATCCAGTGACTGGTGCTACATGGTGACGAGGTTCATCCAGTGACTGGTCCTACATAGTGACGAGGTTCATCCAGTGACTGGTCCTACATAGTGACAAGAGGTTCAACCAGTGACTGGTGTACATAGTGACGAGGTTCATCCAGTGACTGGTGCTACATAGTGACGAGGTTCATCCAGTGACTGGTCCTACATAGTGACGAGGTTCAACCAGTGACTGGTCCTACATAGTGACGAGGTTTATCCAGTGACTGGTGCTACATAGTGACGAGGTTCAACCAGTGATTGGTGCTACATAGTGACGAGGTTCATCCAGTGACTGGTGCTACATAGTGACGAGGTTCATCCAGTGACTGGTCCTACATAGTGACGAGGTTCATCCAGTGACTGGTGCTACATGGTGACGAGGTTCATCCAGTGACTGGTCCTACATAGTGACGAGGTTCATCCAGTGACTGGTGCTACATAGTGACGAGGTTCAACCAGTGACTGGTGCTATATAGTGACGAGGTTCATCCAGTGACTGGTGCTACATAGTGACGAGGTTCATCCAGTGACTGGTCCTACATAGTGACGAGGTTCATCCAGTGACTGGTGCTACATGGTGACGAGGTTCATCCAGTGACTGGTCCTACATAGTGACGAGGTTCATCCAGTGACTGGTCCTACATAGTGACGAGGTTCAACCAGTGACTGGTGCTACATAGTGACGAGGTTCATCCAGTGACTGGTGCTACATAGTGACGAGGTTCATCCAGTGACTGGTCCTACATAGTGACGAGGTTCAACCAGTGACTGGTCCTACATAGTGACGAGGTTTATCCAGTGACTGGTGCTACATAGTGACGAGGTTCAACCAGTGATTGGTGCTACATAGTGACGAGGTTCATCCAGTGACTGGTGCTACATAGTGACGAGGTTCATCCAGTGACTGGTCCTACATAGTGACGAGGTTCATCCAGTGACTGGTGCTACATGGTGACGAGGTTCATCCAGTGACTGGTCCTACATAGTGACGAGGTTCATCAGTGACTGGTGCTACATAGTGGACGAGGTTCAACCAGTGACTGGTGCTACATAGTGACGAGGTTCATCCAGTGACTGGTCCTACATAGTGACGAGGTTCAACCAGTGACTGGTGCTACATAGTGACGAGGTTCATCCAGTGACTGGAGCTACATAGTGACGAGGTTCATCCAGTGACTGGTCCTACATAGTGACGAGGTTCAACCAGTGACTGGTCCTACATAGCGACGAGGTTCATCCAGTGACTGGTGCTACATAGTGACGAGGTTCAACCAGTGACTGGTGCTACATAGTGACGAGGTTCATCCAGTGACTGGTGCTACATGGTGACGAGGTTCATCCAGTGACTGGTCCTACATAGTGACGAGGTTCATCCAGTGACTGGTGCTACATAGTGACGAGGTTCAACCAGTGACTGGTGCTACATAGTGACAAGGTTCATCCAGTGACTGGTGCTACATAGTGACGAGGTTCAACCAGTGACTGGTCCTACATAGTGACGAGGTTCATCCAGTGACTGGTCCTACATAGTGACGAGGTTCATCCAGTGACTGGTCCTACATAGTGACGAGGTTCATCCAGTGACTGGTGCTACATAGTGACGAGGTTCAACCAGTGACTGGTCCTACATAGTGACGAGGTTCATCCAGTGACTGGTGCTACATAGTGACGAGGTTCAACCAGTGACTGGTGCTACATAGTGACGAGGTTCAACCAGTGACTGGTGCTACATAGTGACGAGGTTCAACCAGTGACTGGTCCTACATAGTGACGAGGTTCATCCAGTGACTGGTGCTACATAGTGACGAGGTTCAACCAGTGACTGGTGCTACATAGTGACGAGGTTCATCCAGTGACTGGTGCTACATAGTGACGAGGTTTCAACCAGTGACTGTGTGCTACATAGTGACGAGGTTCATCCAGTGACTGGCCCTACATAGTGACGAGGTTCAACCAGTGACTGGTGCTACATAGTGACGAGGTTCAACCAGTGACTGGTGCTACATAGTGACGAGGTTCAACCAGTGACTGGTGCTACATAGTGACGAGGTTCAACCAGTGACTGGTGCTACATAGTGACGAGGTTCAACCAGTGACTGGTGCTACATAGTGACGAGGTTCATCCAGTGACTGGTGCTACATAGTGACGAGGTTCAACCAGTGACTGGTGCTACATAGTGACGAGGTTCAACCAGTGACTGGTCCTACATAGTGACGAGGGTCAACCAGTGACTGGTCCTACATAGTGACGAGGTTCAACCAGTGACTGGTCCTACATAGTGACGAGGTTCAACCAGTGACTGGTCCTACATAGTGACGAGGTTCAACCAGTGACTGGTCCTACATAGTGACGAGGTCAACCAGTGACTGGTCCTACATAGTGACGAGGTTCAACCAGTGACTGGTCCTACATAGTGACGAGGTTCAACCAGTGACTGGTCCTACATAGTGACGAGGTTCATCCAGTGACTAGTCCTACATAGTGACGAGGTTCAACCAGTGACTGGTGCTACATAGTGACGAGGTTCAACCAGTGACTGGTCCTACATAGTGACGAGGTTCAACCAGTGACTGGTCCTACATAGTGACGAGGTTCAACCAGTGACTGGTGCTACATAGTGACGAGGTTCAACCAGTGACTGGTGTGGGATTTTGGGTGAGAAAAGTACAATAAAATTAGTGAAATAATATAGTATTTATCTTTGTTGATGACAGCTGAAAACACCTTCAGTCTCTACCAGGGTTTTCCTTCCACCTTTGCTGTCTTTTCACTCACCATGGCTGAAATGAAGGTGATTATAACTAGGGTTAAATACACGACCTACTGACATATATTATTAGTATGTCAGGTGTATCACCTGGAAGTCGTGGGTGACCCTTACTTGTATTTTGGGCTTGGGACCGCCCATCACGGCCAAGCTTAACATCGACCCTAGGCACTACAGTGGAATTAGGAGGAGGTCCAGTAAAATAGTGACTTACTCGGCTCATTGTAATGGGAGCTGGTGACGTTACAACGTCAAAGAGACGTCACTATCGATGGCTTGACTGATGACTTTGGAAGTTTCTTCTCTCTTGTCATCTACTTGGCACGTGTCGCCTGACTGCTATCACTCGCCAATAGTCCGTAATTATTCGCGGCAGGAAGAGTGTCTTCCTGGAGACTGTCAGTGATACGATACAGGATTATGATGCACATAATACATCCACGAATGTTTCCACATTCAACACGGTGTGGCCCGGCCAGGTGGCCCCTGGTCATTTCTGTCACACCTTAACTGGTCGAGTTCAAACGGCAATCTGCCTGTTGCACCCTCAACCCTCCTTTTATGGGCGGTTATCTACTGACACGGTGGCTACAGGCATAGATGCCTGCTCTGGTGACAGCTGAATCAAAAGGAGCGGATTCCTTGAGTCTAAGGTGCCAGCTGTGGATTATGAAGCCCACAGTTATATCAACAGATTATAAGAAAATTATTTCAATTTTTCCCCAGTTCTGGAGAATAGCAACTTTCTGACAAACACACGTTCGTAAAATCTTGGAAAAACGCCCATAAAAGTGTAAATTCTGCTGGACACGTGTAAATACTGGGTGTCGATCTTATCTGCTCTGGATCTGCAAACCAATTAGAAAGTGTCTTGATTTTGCAGGATCAGAAACACATTAAGGTAAATGGGCGTTTCTGATATGCTACAATTTAAAACTGCTGAGAGCAGGATGCTTTGTTGCAAGACATGTTAGCTTCAGCTTTGTTAGTGGAAAAAAGAATAGATCATAGCCCTTTCCTGCTCTCGAGTGGGGGAAAGTAGAGAGAGGGGCTTTAGCCCCCTTAAGAGGGGTTGTTGCCCCGAGAGGGGGGTCGATGCCCCCTTCGAGAAATTTTCTCCAAAGACTGGTGCAATAAATTGGTGAGGTTCACTCAGTGACTGGTGCCACACAGTGTATAGGTTAGACATATCAGTTGCAGGCGACTATTCTAAAGGTGTGTGTGTGTGTGTGTGTGTGTGTGTGTGTGTACTCACCTAATTGTACTCACCTAATTGTGGTTGCAGGGGTCGATACTCAGCTCCTGGCCCCGCCTCTTCACCGTGTGTGTGTGTGTGTGTGTGTGTGTGTGTGTGTGTGTGTGTGTGTGTGTGTGTGTGTGTGTGTGTATGTGTGTGTGTGTGTGTGTGTGTGTGTGTACGCTGACGTCTCCCCTCCCTACTGACTGCTGACTCAGCACCCCTTAATCTAGTCAGCGGAGGCGGCAGGGTTCCTGCTGACTCAGGAGGGAGGGAGAGAGGGGAAGGAGGGAGAGAAACACGCGAACAATGGCAGAGAGAAAGAGAGAGAGAGAGAGAGAGAGAGAGAAAGCAGGACGAAAGCACGAGATCAATTATATTCATGAAGCGCTAAACCTCTATGGGCCATAAACCACCTGGGGGATGGGAGGTAAATCAAATCTTATCCAAGGAAAGAAAGAGGTAGCTCCAATTCCATGGATTAAGAGCCCTTCAGCATCCGAGCAGCCCTAAGCGATACCTTTGGGCAAGTCTCCTAACACCTGACACCCTGTAAGTAGTTATCTGTGTTAGTCGACTAAGAAAGTTTATTTAGGTACAGATACACATAAGTCCAGTTACATAAATTATTATATATAAGTAGCGTAGGTGTAAATTACCTAGGATAACACAAAAATTACCTAGGATAACACAAAAATTACCTAGGATAACACAAAAATTACCTAGGATAACACAAAAATTACCTAGGATAACACAAAAATTACCTAGGATAACACAAAAATTACCTAGGATAGCACAAAAATTACCTAGGATAGCACAAAAATTACCTAGGATAACACAAAAATTACCTAGGATAACACAAAAATTACCTAGGATAACAAAAATTACCTAGGATAACACAAAAATTACCTAGGATAGCACAAAAATTACCTAGGATAGCACAAAAATTACCTAGGATAACACAAAAATTACCTAGGATAACAAAAATTACCTAGGATAGCACAAAAATTACCTAGGATAGCACAAAAATTACCTAGGATAACACAAAAATTACCTAGGATAACACAAAAATTACCTAGGATAGCACAAAAATTACCTAGGATAACACAAAAATTACCTAGGATAACAAAAATTACCTAGGATAGCACAAAAATTACCTAGGATAGCACAAAAATTGTGATGAATGGTTTGAAAAACCGACAAGTTGAAGATTGAGACACTTATGCAACATATGGGAATCTTTATTCAGGAAACGTTTCGCCACACAGTGGCTTCATCAGTCCAATACAAAGAGGAAGGCGTAAGGAGAGGAGGAGAATGAGGTAATCAGTCCCTCAACCTGGAGTCGATGTGTTCAGTCCATCAATCTTGTAGAATGGACTGAACACATCGACTCCAGGTTGAGGGACTGATTACCTCATTCTCCTCCTCTCCTTACGCCTTCCTCTTTGTATTGGACTGATGAAGCCACTGTGTGGCGAAACGTTTCCTGAATAAAGATTCCCATATGTTGCATAAGTGTCTCAATCTTCAGCACAAAAATTACCTAGGATAACACAAAAATTACCTAGGATAACACAAAAATTACCTAGATAACACAAAAATTACCTAGGATAACACAAAAATTACCTAGGATAACACAAAAATTACCTAGATAACACAAAAATTACCTAGGATAACACAAAAATTACCGAGGATAACACAAAAATTACCTAGGATAGCACAAAAATTACCTAGGATAGCACAAAAATTACCTAGGATAACACAAAAATTACCTAGGATAGCACAAAAATTACCTAGAATAGCACAAAAATTACCTAGGATAACACAAAAATTACCTAGGATAACACAAAAATTACCTAGATAACACAAAAATTACCTAGGATAACACAAAAATTACCGAGGATAACACAAAAATTACCTAGGATAACACAAAAATTACCTAGGATAGCACAAAAATTACCTAGGATAGCACAAAAATTACCTAGGATAACACAAAAATTACCTAGGATAACACAAAAATTACCTAGGATAACACAAAAATTACCTAGGATAACACAAAAATTACCTAGGATAACACAAAAATTACCTAGGATAACACAAAAATTACCTAGGATAACACAAAAATTACCTAGGATAACACAAAAATTACCTAGATAACACAAAAATTACCTAGGATAGCACAAAAATTACCTAGGATAACACAAAAATTACCTAGATAACACAAAAATTACCTAGGATAACACAAAAATTACCTAGATAACACAAAAATTACCTAGGATAGCACAAAAATTACCTAGGATAACACAAAAATTACCTAGATAACACAAAAATTACCTAGGATAACACAAAAATTACCTAGGATAGCACAAAAATTACCTAGGATAACAAAAATTACCTAGGATAACACAAAAATTACCTAGGATAACACAAAAATTACCTAGATAACACAAAAATTACCTAGGATAACACAAAAATTACCTAGGATAGCACAAAAATTACCTAGGATAACAAAAATTACCTAGGATAACACAAAAATTACCTAGGATAACACAAAAATTACCTAGGATAACACAAAAATTACCTAGGATAACACAAAAATTACCTAGGATAGCACAAAAATTACCTAGGATAACACAAAAATTACCTAGGATAACACAAACAGGTCAAAGTGACTTATTTCCATCTAGGTCCTACTTATTTCCCTTTCCTTGAAAGGGAAGGATAACACCTCGTAGCCTGTTAACTGAGGTAGGATAACACCTCGTCGCCTGTTAACTGAGGTAGGATAACACCTCGTAGCCTGTTAACTGAGGTAGGATAACACCTCGTAGCCTGTTAACTAAGGTAGGATAACACCTCGTAGCCTGTTAACTGAGGTAGGATAACACCTCATAGCCTGTTAACTGAGATAGAATAACACCTCGTAGCCTGTTAACTGAGGTAGGATAAGACCTCGTAGCCTGGTAACTGAGGTAGGATAACACCTCGTAGCCTGTTAACTGAGGTAGGATAACACCTCGTAGCCTGTTAACTGAGGTAGGATAACACCCCGTAGCCTGTTAACTGAGGTAGGATAACACCTCGTAGCCTGGTAACTGAGGTAGGATAACACATCGTAGCCTGTTAACTGAGTTAGGATAACACCTCGTAGCCTGTTAACAGCTGAGGTAGGATAACACCTCGTAGCATGTTAACTGAGGTAGGATAACACCTCGTAGCCTGTTAACTGAGGTAGGATAACACCTCGTAGCCTGTTAACTGAGGTAGGATAACACCCCGTAGCCTGTTAACTGAGGTAGGATAACACCTCGTAGCCTGGTAACTGAGGTAGGATAACACATCGTAGCCTGTTAACTGAGTTAGGATAACACCTCGTAGCCTGTTAACAGCTGAGGTAGGATAACACCTCGTAGCATGTTAACTGAGGTAGGATAACACCTCGTAGCCTGTTAACTGAGGTAGGATAACACCTCGTAGCATGTTAACTGAGGTAGGATAACACCTCGTAGCTTGTTAACAGCTGAGGTAGGATAACAGCTAGTAGCCTGTTAACAGCTTAGATAGGATAACACCTCGTAGCCTGTTAACAGCTGAGGTAGGATAACAGCTAGTAGCCTGTTAACTGACGTAGGATAACAGCTAGTAGCCTGTTAACAACTGAGGTAGGATAACAGTTAGTAGCCTGGTAACAACTGAGGTAGGATCAGAAGTGTCCCTGTTTGCAGATGATGTGAAGTTAATGACGAGAATTAAATCAGATGCTGACCAGACAGATCTACAAAGAGACCTGGACAGGCTGGATGCATGGTCCAGCAACTGGCTCCTAGAATTTAACTCTGCCAAATGCAAAGTCATGAAGATCGGAGAAGGGCAAAGAAGACCGCAGACAGAGTATAGGCTCGGCGGCCAAAGACTGCAAACCTCACTCAAGGAGAAAGATCTAGGGTTGAGTATAATACCGAGTACATCGCCAGAAGCACACATTAACCAGATAACTGCTGCGGCATATGGGCGCTTGGCAAACCTGAGAATAGCGTTCCGATACCTCAGTAAGGAATCGTTCGAGACTTTATACACTGTGTACGTCAGGCCCATACTGGAGTACGCAGCACCAGTTTGGAACCCACACCTGGTCAAACACGTCAAGATATTAGAAAAAGTGCAAAGGTTTGCAGCAAGGCTAGTTCCAGAGCTAAGGGGATTGTCCTACGAAGAGAGGTTAAGGGAAATCGGCCTGACGATACTGAAGGACAGGAGGGTCAGGGAAGACATG